CGTTCGTGCCTATAAACGCTTACGAAACTCAAGAACTGTGGAATTGATGCACCTATATCGGTAACGGTTACAGAAACGGCTTCTTTATCTTTGAAAAAAGCAAATGGTTAATCAGCGTACAACGAAGCCACGTCTTATTTGCAATTCATTGAACACACATAGGTAAAAACTCTATTTAAATAGATAACAAGAAAATTAACTTCAAATACTTATTACCTATTAGAACACACTACTAAAAACTAATCATAAAGGCATTAATTTGTCAGGTACAGTCAATATATACAAAGAAAGTTAGAATAAAGAAAAAACCACGGGTTGCACTCCGGGAGTGCCGGCAGAAGTGAAAACTTGAATATTACCGTTGTGCATTTTTGATATTTTGGAATGGTTAGGGAATAACTTTGCACGAATTGTTTTAATTATCAGTATAAAAGTACTATCATCTATGTGGTAGAACACAATATTTATTTATTGTGCTATTGTACACAAACATGACAATTTATATTACATAAAAAAAGTTTATCTCTCAGAAAAATCAACTTACATGAATCACGTTTAAGCGCACTTAGCGACATCTATTGTAAAGAAATCAACTTACATGAATCACATTTAAGCGTACCTAGTTGTCACTATTGTAAAAAAAAAATGCATTTTCTTCGCAATAAAGCTGCCACGTGGACAGAGACTTATTATTATAATACGGTAAAATAAAATGTTTCGTCCAATATATTGAAATTCAACAACCTTTCCAATTTTATTGTGTCATGGTGCGATCAGCCCACGTGTTTAACCCGGCGCGAGTTTATCATATTTTACCCATACTACAAAAAAAAGTGTACAACGCCGCTAAAGAAGTTTTCACTTTAAAAATGGTGTGGTTTTATGAAAGTACGATGCAAGTGGAACTTTAGGTTGGGTTACTTACCCGAACTTACTTAATTAGTTGGGCTGGGTTTTTTTTCATATTATTTTTATTCAATTATTTTACAATTTGTCCCATAACCAAGTTATTCTGATTCAAATTTCAACGTGTTTAATAATATACTGTCCGTACTCGAGGCTGCTATTTGATACAGCCAGGGGCGCGGGCAGAAGTCTGAAAGAGCAAGCATAAAAGGATAGTAAAGATAAAAGAAGGTATACAAGAAAATAGGGAGGTGGATAACAAAATAGAGAAAAGGGCTGGGTTATAAAACGTGGAAAATTAAAAAGTTTTTGCTCGGCTGAAAATCTTACCCGTGCGTACCCGAGCCGTCAGCGTGGCAGGCGAGCTTTGTACCACTGAACTACCGATGCTTGTTGACAAGTTCTGATTTTGTAATAACAATAAATGTAGAGGGACATGCTATAGATAAACAAAAAAAATGTGGCGATGATATAAATTTTTCACTTGAAAATCTAAAAAATAGCTTCTATATAACAAGGCTAGCTAATGACTCTGCCCACCTTTCAATTATTTGCCTACTAAATATAAATTAAATAGATATTTCCAACTCTTACACCAATTAGCCTAGCCCCAAAGTTAGCACTGTAGGCTTGTGTTATGGGATACTAGGGTAACTTATATAGAAATACATATTAAACATCCATGACTTTAGTACAAATGCTCGTATTCATCACACAAACATTTGCCCCCACCGGGATACAAACCCTAGAGCCATGGAACCCGGCGTATATACCACTCGGCCACGAAGATCGTAAAAAACGTTAATAGATTAAATAAAACTACTCCTCAAAAGCAGGTGCCAATATTTCAGTTTTATCAGCGAAACGCGATAAGCGTTACATAATGGTCACAGTGACCATAGCCCCGAAATCAATAAACAAGCTATGTAGGTTATGTACTCGTGTGTCACAGTATTGAGAAAGCCCCTCTGCTTCTCTGAATAACAACATCCATGTGACTCCCCTGGCTGTGTAAACATACCCTTTTCCTCTTTCAATAACTATTTTGTAAGTTCCGTTTCGGCTAATCGTGATTGTGTGCTTTAGGATGTATTAGACAAATCATAGATATAGAAAGACCGAAAAATTAAATGTGTTTTAGGTTCTCATTTCACTGTGTAACCATGCTTGTTTTTCTTTTTTATAAAAATAAAGCTGCCCAAATACAAGTAAGATTCATACACAAAGGTTTAATATTACTATTTTAAGTGTAAAAATCGTTAAGATAGTGCAAAGAATGCCAGAAAAATAAAGTTTCCTTTGTAAGTTTTGTTTTTGTTCAGAAATACAGCTGAGTAAATTTTTTAAGTTTCTACCTAACATGGTATATATACACACACACACTTCATACACATTACCTCTGACACAATGAATGGCGGATAGCGAAAACTATTAATAGGTTCAGTTTCGGTACCCAAAGGTAACCACACCTTTTCAGTTGGTACTCTAAGGTCACCAACCCTATCTAATACAATCTAACTTTTTCATCTTAATAAAATTTTACTTAAAAAAAAATCACGCGGATCAGGCAGCAGACGGGACTCGAACCCGCACCATTTATTATCTTTCTTCGATAGAGAAGTTGGTAGCGAAATAATTGATTAACTTATCAAGCTATTGATTGATATAAATTATCAAATAGGATTATACAATGCAACATTGTTTGAAAAAAGAAACAATTTTGAAATGTTCAATTATAAGATTAATTATAATTACTTTTCAATACTATTTGTTCAGTGACTTTCAGAAGCGTCTTAATTTTATTATTCCTCCAGCAATGCTTTATAACTATACTTCTGTCAAGTTGACGACACGGCATTTTGCTGGGAAAGGATGACTCAACTAGAAGTAAACTAATCACTTTAATAATTTTAAGTTTCTTAACTTAATTAAAGAACGGTTTTCACTGAATACTGCTTCAGGGATCGAGACCCACATTTCGTTTGTACCCGAGGTATCAAAAAAAAAACATTAAAACTGACGAAGATTTTTAACTTTAATAGATTGTCTATTTTCCGAGCGAGAAAATATTTCTGATGTTGCTGTGTACAAATAAATCAAATTTAAAAGCTTTTCTCTTTTAAATGCAACGCTTTTACAATTTGTGACTCACGGTAAGTAGGAATGATTTTCTAAGTATCTTCCTGGATATAAAGTGTTTAAAATGAACCTTGAATATTCATTTACAATTTGAAACTATATGTTACAAAATAATATTGATTAAAATAACTGTTTTTAGGTCGCAGCATCCATAAGTTGGAGATGTTACTCATTATTAGCTTATTAATGTCCCCACGGCCGGGGCACAAGCCTTCCCTATGTATGGAATAGGGAGATTGGGCCAGAGCCACCACGCGGGCCCATTGCGGGTTGGTGGTTCTAACGACTGCAGATGCATCCGGGACCAACGGCCTAACGAGCCTTCCGAAGCACGGAGGAGCTCGCGATAATAAGTTTTTGGTCACCCATCCAATGACTGACCATTTCCAAAGTTGCTTAATTTCCACGTTAACAGGCTGAACGCGCTAACCACCTGCGCCTTCGAGCTCCTCAATGTTACTCAACTACAAAAACAAAAAAATTGTACCAAAAACAAAAAAACAAAATAGTCGTGGGAAAATCGAAATGGAATAACATCTGATAAGGTACTTTCCCTTCGGATCAAGATCATGGCGAATAGTTGCCAGATTATGATAGATAAAAAGTGGCACGAATTTCGATTTTATCTGCTTGCCTATAATCTCCAACAGGGAACACTGCTTATCTCCTCTACATTGGTTCGGCACAAGTTATTTAAATACTCTCGTCTGATTGATGTATTCGCATTAATACGTTGTGCTTCTCGTTATATAGACGGGTGATATTTAATATTAACTTTAAAATCTACTTTATAGAGGGGTGAGTTCCTTGTTGCATTTTATTTTATGCAGTGTTTTGTTTTATTAATAAAACCTTCTTGAGGAATGTTTAGTTTTTAAATGAATTAACTTTAATTGTTAAATAAGAAATAATGCTTTTTTTACTTACTCAGCATTTTTCAGATAGGAGTTTTAGTTTTTTTTTGTATACTTTGATGACACAGAGGCATAAAATACAAACATATTTTTTATTTTCAAAAGGCACAGCTTATTACTAATTCGCGTTCCACTCAAGTGTGAAATAAATTGTATTCAAATAACGGTGAAATTTAAACTCTGCTCAGTAGAGTAAAACGAAGTTTAAGATTAGAGTTCTAAAAAACAATCACTCGAAAAATAAAATAAAATTGACACTACTTTTCAAAACGTAACACAACTCTCTTTTACTACAACCGATCTAAATCAACTTGCCAAATCATTATCGAATTATGACAAGTAACCGGTTTTGATTAACTATTATTAATAATTTTGTTTTGAACTAGCAATGCCAATGGCACCTTGAAAATATAATCGCGAATTTGAATCAAAGGGACGTTCTAAGAAAGACTGAACACTTTTTTATCTGCCTGAGTACAACATTGACTTACGTTTTTTATTTGCTGTATTGACGTATTTGCTATATTAATCACAATTAAAAATAAATAAAACATTACACTCGTATCAAATCCTGGAATCAAATAAATCAGTAGTCATTTCAGATTTATTATTATCCTGATAATGTAATCAATATTGTTCCGCAATCTAAATAGTAAAACGTAATCATGTTTTTTTTCAAGTACCTACCTACTTAAAGTAATTAGCGAAGTTATTCATTATCTTTTTGTAATTGCGCGTAAGTATATTGAAACAAAAGACTACCTACAGATAAAAGAAAAACACAATAATAATTATCTATAAATAGTTTTCCTTGCTAAAACTACAATATTCCTAATTCTATTTTAACCAGTACGATCTCGAAATAAATACATACATACTTTAATAAATATTAAAACTAAATTTTCATTGAATAATACGCAGTGAAAGATTCGAAAATTTTAAATATTTTGTTAATTTATCAGATTGCTGCTTTAAAATCCAATGCTTGCCTCCAAAGGCATTTATTATAGTCGAAGCTATCTAAGCACAACATAAATTTCATATTAACGATTAATCGGTTAGCCAGTTAGTGTCTTTTCGGATAGCTTAATTTTACTTCAGTTAACATCTAACTGTTATTGCGATAACATCAGTGACTCTAATAAATAGTTTACAGTGGTTAACCTTGACGCAGTAAAAATAATCAAGTTGTTTAGACCATTTCAACTCGTCGAAGTTTGTTAATAAGTACGCCATTTATAAAGCATTTTTTTTTTTCAGAAAATGGAACGTCAGACGTTTCTGGTATTGGCATCAATATTAGCGTGCTCCGCAGGCTACCCTGTAAAACCGTATCATAGTAAGTAAAAAAATAAAACTTTAAAAAAGTAGGTATTTGCCCATTCCCGGTGGGACTGAAAGAAACTGTTGCTTATATTTCCGTCTACATTAAATGAAACACGCACACGGTATTCGCAGGGTTCTTAAGCGGATATTATGCCGTAAAGCGCCGGCAAGAGTTACGGGGTCCTCAGTGGGCAGCCACTGCGGAGGCACCTAAGGCTTACAGGAGCCAGGTGTGAGGTCCGTTCGGCGCAGCGTGTGCCTCTTAAAGGCGCCGTCGTCTGTAAATAGAGGTTTTGCCTGCGTTAGAAAAAAACCTTAATTCTGACGACGCAACCTTAAAAAAAAGTAATAAAAAGACACATTTTGAGACCGTTTAAGTGTGTTTCATTTATTGAGGGGTGCGCGTGGAAACTTAAGAAACAAAATATTTCCGTCTACTATTATATTATTGATTTTTCAGACAAATTTTTATCACATTATCAGGTTTTATTTCCACGATGAAAACAAATATTCGGTGTTCTTCCTTATAATTTTTTCATCTCTTTAGGTACCAAAATTGGCTAGCGGGATCTACATATATTAAGTATGTATGATGTGTTATGATAACAATCTTTTAATCACTTTCGTTTTTATGCTAATGTGTTTTCTTTATTTATTTAAATAATTCGGATATAAATCAAATTGGCTAATTGGCCTCGGCTGACATATTACAAAAAAAGAGTTTCAACTCCAAAAACTTATGAAAATCACAGATATGTTTTTAAGATAAGCTTTAATGATCGAATTTTAGGGGAATTACCCTCAACTTACCGTATAGTAAAAAGTGTGCAGGTGAATAACTTTATTATGTAATGCTGTGTTTTTAATGTAAGCAAGGACACCATATTTAAGTTGAAATAATAATCATTATTGCACAAAGGGTTTCGTATCATTAATAGTAGGTACTTAATGACGTTTTAGTTTTGGTCTGTCTTGTTACCTCCAACTCTTATGTAACTCTTGTACTTTCATTTTGGAAATAGAAATACACATAAAACACAGCGTACTGCCAGACGGACACTCATAAACTCAGTAATAGGAATCCGTCGGTATCGCTTCGTAGTTTTTAAAATAATAAAGTTTTCGGTTAGCAAGGTTCGTACACCACGCAACCCTAAAATGTATGAAATCGATATGAAAGTTATCTACCGCTAGTCAACCTACTTGTGAATATTCTGTTGCTTATCAGTGGTTTTTAAAGTTCCGTACCCAAACCCTCTTATTAATAAACAAGGAATAAGCTTAGACTTACTTACTTAGCAACGCCATGCAGGATATGCAACAGTTTCACCAGAACGGCAACGCATGGTCCGACATCGGTTACGCCGTGTTTTGTTTATGTCACTCAAATGCCATTTGTCATTGAACGAACAGAGACAAAACATGGATTAACAAATACAAACTTATTCTAAGTTTATTAATAAGGGGGAAAGAGTAAAAAACGGAACCCTATTGCCGCGTGTCCGCCTTTCCGTATGCAACGCTCACAGGTCTCTCTCTTGATCGTAAACGCAATGAGTTACAGTACTAAAATTTTGGTATTTTATGAAGAATGTTTGCCCAAAGCCGAATATTTAGTTAAAAATTCAATTAAATAATTTTTTTGGGGGATCCCATACATGAAAAGGAAACGAATTTTATTTTTTCACATCATCACTGTCTAGTGCTCTTTGTAAGTTTTGACGAAAACAAACAAATGATTTTTCCATTCGCGATTTCTTGTACGGAACTCTTCGTGTTCAAGTCCGACTCGCATTTGGCCGAGTTTTTTTTCCGAATATTTTGTGTCCTAGTTGTAACTTTTACTTACATTACGTACTTACATTAAATTAATTACTACTCGTCTGTTCCAGAACACTCATTCGAGCTCGTATGTAGGGCGGATTGGGGCGCCAATCCTTCGGGCCCTGTCACCATGCTGGAGGAGCCCGCCTCCTACGTGGTCATCCACCACACCTATCAGCCCGGAGTGTGCAAAACCCGGGACAGCTGCGTCAACGCCATGCAGGACATGCAACAGTTCCACCAGAACGGCAACGGATGGTCCGACATCGGTTACAAGTTAGTATATTGTCCTTTACCTTTGGCTAGTGATCCTAACTTTAAATCCAGAGTCAGCCCGCCTCCCACGTGGTGATCCACCGCACCTACCAGCCCGGAGTGTGCAACATCCTGGACAGCTGCGTCAACGCCATGCAGAGCATGTAACAGTTCAACCAGAACAGCAACGGATGGTCCGACATCGGTTACAAGTTAGTATATTGTCCTTTACCTTTGGCTAGTGATCCTAACTTTAAATCCAGAGGCAGCCCGCCTCCCACGTGGTGATCCACCACACCTATCAGCCCGGAGTGTGCAACACCCTAGACAGCTGCGTCAACGCAATACAGAGCATGTAACAGTTCAACCAGAACGGCAACGGATGGTCCGACATTGGTTCCGAGTTAGTATATTGTCCTTTACCTTTGGCTAGTGATCCTAACTTTAAATCCAGAGGCAGCCCGCCTCCCACGTGGTGATCCACCACACCTATCAGCCCGGAGTGTGCAACACCCTAGACAGCTGCGTCAACGCAATACAGAGCATGTAACAGTTCAACCAGAACGGCAACGGATGGTCCGACATTGGTTCCGAGTTAGTATATTGTCCTTTACCTTTGGCTAGTGGTCCTTACTATAACTTCAGAGGCAGCCCACCTCCCTCGTGGTGATCCACCACACCTATCAGCCCGGAGTGTGCAACACCCTGGACAGCTGCGTCAACGCCATGCAGAGCATGTAACAGTTCAACCAGAACGACAACGGATGGTCCGACATCGGTTCCGAGTTAGTATATTGTCCTTTACCTTTGGCTAGTGATCCTAACTTTAAATCCAGAAGCAGCCCGCCTCCCACGTGGTGATCCACCACACCTACCAGCCCGGAGTGTGCAATAGCCTGGATAGCTGCGTCATACATTACGGCGTTACCTGGTCCTGCCCCGCTCTTCTACCATTTAATCATATTAATATGAACTTAATTTATATTTAACATTGTCAACCCAGGTTTATTTAATTTGCCGTTAACTAGCTGTACCCTTAGCAAGAAGATATCGCATTCGAATAGTTGAATTCGTTCTAGATACGATACGCGTCAAATGTCTAGAAGTTGTGTATGGAAGATTTTTAATTTTCGTCAAGTCTGTTCAAATTTCCATACAAAACTTCTTGACATTTGACGCGTATCGAGATCGAATTCAACTATTTGAATTCGATATTGGTTCGTGCTAAGGGCACTGAAGACCACTTAGATAACTATTATGTTTAATACATACTATTAAGTTTAGCTAATGGCACAACCATTTTTGACAGTAAAAATACAAACAGTGTTATATAACTCTTGGTGCGACCAATTTTTTTTACGTTAACACGTGTTTAGATGACGATAATAGGCTTTTTATTGTAACTGATTGTAAATTACCCTTGAACTAGGGGGTAAAATAAAATTGAAGCCAATATAATTGTTAAGCAGACGAAATCGTGTGCAACTACGAACCAGTCCTATAAGCATAAGCTAATATTAATTATAACATAAACTTGTAATTTTTCAGCTTCGCGATAGGCGGAGAAGGGCGTGTGTACGAAGGTCGCGGCTGGGACGTGGTGGGCGCTCACGCGGTTGGCTACAACTCCAGAAGCGTTGGCATCGCAATCATCGGTGATTGGAGAAGTATGATTCATAATATTATATCAAGACTATTTCTATAAACAAGTAAAGCTTGACTGTGACAAATGAATAAGCACGGCATGAGGTGAGGCGTGTCGGGAGGCGCGGAGGTAGAGAGAAAACAACACCGTATGGCACGGTCCACGCATTTTTTTATTTTAACTACCATGACTGAATCTCCTACCCCGTGGTACCCTGGAACGTGACTCACCGACAGAAACACAACACCATCAAAAGGTAGTGTTATTTTACTGGGATCTTCTGTAAGGCGGAGGGGAGGTTAGTTCCCCAGACTGGGTTTACGCTTTCTTCATTCATTGATTTGTTCGTTGTCTCTAACGACTTTTGAGAATAAGGAATATACACCAGTTTTATATGTACCCTCAACATATCAGTTGATATTTCCCCCTGAACATATCATCTACTCTACCCAAAGCTTTTGGCGGAATCAACAATGGCAGTTTGCCATCCCATCGAGCTCATTAGATCTTGAAAATGCTTTGTCCACAAATAGTTTTAATATTTATCTCTCTTTCAATCGTTCAGCGTGGACGCTCATTCCTTTAGACACTTTTACAAATACTTATTCAATCAGTGAGGTTTGTTATTAATTTATTTTAAGTATCTATCACTTTTATGCCCGTATTACAGAATGACAACTATGTGTTGATCTTTGCTTGAGTACAGTTAGAAAAGGATGTCGCTATGAGCTATACAGAGGGACCTCCCTTTCTAACTATGCTCAAGACTAGATTCATTACTGAGAATCTTTCTATAATACGGGCCTAAAACTATTTTAGGCTCCTTAACCTACAGAAGCAGCGAAGCGAAAGGAACCTTGTTTAGTTGTATGTTTTTTTTGTATTTGTTTGCGGTACGAACAATACCTTCACCCAGATAAAGGAACTAGTAAAAGTCTGACCTTAAGACAAGTTACGGCTACTTTCACAAACTTCAGATACTAATCATTGTTATTTTTTACAGGTGAAACCCCGTCAAAAGCTTCATTGAAAGCCGTTAGGGCTTTGATCGAAACCGGAGTGAAACTTGGCTACATCGAGCCCACATACACCCTGATGGGGCATAGACAAGCATCTTCCACCGAATGTCCAGGAGATGCACTCTTCAACGAAATCTCTACCTGGCCACGATTTAGAAAGGCATAGAGATTGACTTCGACAAATTTTTCAACAAAACAAACAACAGGCTGTGATAACAAGTGCAATATTATTCTTAAGATAACAGTTAGATAAAGGATTAATTGTGTTGGACCGTACCGCATCCCGTATTTTTCTGTTTTTATTTATTCTGGCCTGGATACTACTTTCTTAAACCATACATACCAATACTGTAGCATTGATATTTCCCCAAAAAAACTAACCAAGTCTATAAATGATCCCTGAAATTCTCTTAACTTAAAATTTTAGGGTAAGTTGAGTTTTCCCAGGGTCTATTGATACCCCTAAAATCTCTTCCCACTTATTTTTCCCCTAAATCTGGGGAAAATCACTATGTTGGACTCTTTTTCATATAAAATCTTCGTGTTTTAAATCAGAGCGAGCCTCGTACATGACTTATGGAACTTACTCACGTTTGGAATTACTCGATAGTTTTTCACATAAACGAGTAAAAATCAAAACTCACAACTATTTAAATGTAATTATTATGGAGTTTATGTCCATAAACGGTCTAATAAAATTTATCCTTTAGCTAATATCACCTCATCAGTTCATAAGTCCTTTGATAAAGTCTTCCAATTTCAATTATAAAAGGGCGATTAAGATTAAAGTGTGTTTTCTTCGCAACTGGACTCAACTTACCTAATATTGGTTGGTTGGGTGGAGTGTCTTGCTGTATCTTGCATAGAAAAATCTATTGCTGAAACTGTCTCATTCGCATTAATAATATTGAAGAAAGACTTTGTTTAATAATCACTTCTTTAAGTAGTCAAGTTTAAATGTTTTTTTGGTAAAATAAAAGTATTCATTCATAACAGTACGTTATTCATTTGTGACTTACATAACTTATCACAATATCTTAGAATTTATTTTTATGAGATCTAGACTTTTTTGAATTCATAAAGTAATTATTTTTAAGCAGAATATAGTTTTAAGTTGTGTGGTACAAACACAAATCTAAACGAATCCTACTATATACACCTGTGATACTATGTGCAATAAATTAATTTATTAATAAAGTGTACCTACATTACTGCATCTTTTTTCTTATGATTTCGACGTAATATGGATGATAACTAACTTTTTGAAGTGAAAATTCTTTGAATTTCTCCGAAGTGAAACGACAGAGTTGATATTTTTCTAGAAAAAATCTTAATATATATAAATTACGCGTCACGTTGTTTATCCTGGATGGTTTCCAAAACTACCTTACCGATTTTAATCAAATTTGCACACCGCGTGCAATAGGGTATTTGATAGTATTTAAAATAAAGTGCCAATTGTTAGCATCTGTGTTAAGAATGAGTATTGGCAGGGGTTTTTACTATTTTTACAAAAAAAAATATTCATAATTTTACTAAAACCCCACGAAAAAGATAATAGTTTTCTTATCTATTGTCACGTGACCCAAAACGCTTGGGATTGGCGGAGCCGAAAATGACGTCACACGCAAGTAAACTTCCGGTTAGAGTGACATTACATTGTATTGTTTGACGTTTTAATAACATTCGTGTGACATCACACACTAGTAAGATGCCATGTCCAAAAAAAAGTTTTCGCGGCAACTTGAAAATGGAGTTTTTGATTTGGTTATTTTTACTGAAATACACAACAGAATGATGAATCCACATTTTACGGACTCAATAAACATTAGTCAAGAACGTGAGATCGTTTTCTTAAAATTGTCAAATACCCTATTAAATCCAACTTGAAAGATACGATAGCTGACATCTGAATTTATAGTCGAAATATTATTTTATTGCAAATTAATACTTTTGGGGGGTACGAAATTCGCCGAGTCAGCTAGTATTCTATAGATTAACTAGCCGACAAAGCGAACTTCGTACCGCCATGAAAATAGGGGCTGGTGGTTAGAAGGTTGAAATGTATTTTTGAATGCCACTTTATATAAAATAAAAGTCTTCCAAAAAAAATGTTAGAGGTGTGTAACTTAGTGTTCTATCAATTACCTGGGATAACATTCCTCCTAAACCATATGAGAACACTACGTTACAATACCCAATAGTTTGAATTTTAGCGCGAAGGCGCATTATAGGTTTCAGAACACTACGTTAAAGGTGGACTACCCTTATCATTTTAGGGTTTAAAAAATATATAGTAGCCGATTCTCATTCTCACAGAATATGCATATAAAATTTCATAAAAATCGGTCAAGCCGTTTCGAAGGAGTAGTATTGGTCACGGAGTCAAATGGCAGCAGTTTGTCCGACCTGGTGCATTTGTGTGAGTGCAGATAGTGTACAAAAAACGAAATTGAAGAACCTTGCATGCTTCACATTTTAGTTTTTTTAGTCTTTTTTTCAGGTCCGTGGTGTTTCCATAAAAAATGTAGATCTATGTAATATTAGTAACTAGTACTACCACGGCAGTCACACGTTCAACTTATAAATATTTGAACGTGTGAATGCCGTCGTTCGGATCGGGGGGTCTACTCTCTTTCTCCGAAACGAACTTTCTATAACAAAGTTCAAACGAAATTTAATTTCGTCCATTTAAGGTTATACTTAATTTGAACGATAAACTATCAAATTGAAGCTTTCTTTGGGTATTTATTTATACTGTGTGACACAGCAATCAAAATGCAGGTGAACAATTATGTATAATTTCACATTATGTAATGAAAGGTGACTTCATGAATCATCTCTGAAGTCATTTTTCAACTTGACGACTCTATTAATGATAAAACAGGGAGAGAAAAAACAGCCCTTGCTGAGTTTCTTGCCGGTTTTTTTCAGTACAAGGTCTCCCGCCGTAGATTTACGAACCGATGGCGTAGCTTCTAGACATTCGTATGTGCTTGTAACAGCCTAAACTGAATAAATGATTTTGATTGATTGATTGATTGAGTAGGCTTAGAAAATCTACACCTCAATCTATATTCCGACGAAGAATATTATTATAATTAAAAAAGAACCAGAAACACAGTAAGAAAAGTGCAAAGTTTCTTAAGTAAATTTTAATATATTGTTTTAATTGATGCAAAAGAATAAAATAATTCCTTTCCCTTATCGGGACTTACACCCTCTTATTAATAAACGAAGAACTGGCTTGCATTAGTTATTCCATGTTTTGTCTCTGTTCATTGAATTACAAATGGCACTGAGTGATATGAAAAAAACACGGCGTAACTAATTTAGATTAGTTACGCCGTGTTCTTCTTACGCTTCTTCGGGTTAATGATCCAAACTGTTGAATACAAACTATCTATGGGATATAGAGCACAGCCAGAACCACTCTCCGTCTTTCAGGCTTGCACTCACACCCATCCTTCCTTTAATTTCCCCTCCGCAGCCACTTTCTAAGCAACTAATACAGGGCATAACGCAAGGGACCAGAAGAACTCTCTTGCTGTCTCCTTATTCGTAGAGCTATCCTTCTCAGTTCCACGATTTCAGCCATCGTTACCAAGCCGTCTTACAGCAAATCCGTCATGGGCCCAACTATGCTCGGACGCCATCGGCCAATCACGCCCGATCAAATCAAACGTATGTAAAAGAAAAAAAGTGCGTACACTACTACAACCGCGATCGTCCGATGACGCCCAACCGAATTATTATTTTTGAAGTGAAAACTTCTTTAGCGGCGTTGTACACTTTTTTGTCGCGTCAGGACACGTGGCCTAATCGAAAATTCGTAAGACTAAAACAATAAAATTGGAAAGGTTATTTCAAGGACTGTCAATATATTGGACGAAACATAGTAATATTTTATTTTATAGTATCTCTTATCTATTAGACAAGTCCGTCCGTCTGTCTGTGGTGCTGTTTCAGCGGCCAAACCGTAGAGATAGATAAAGAGAATATTTAAGTTATAAGTTAAGAATAGTCTGATAAGACTACAAACCGGATTTGAGTAACGTAGCACTTCCGGTTTTCGAGAAATCAGGTTTTGGTGAACATTTGGTTCACTGGTTTGCTAGTTATATTATTAAGTCTCTAATTAGGACGTCCGGTTGGCAGCTTTATTGCGAAGAAAGTGCATTTTTGACGTGACAACGTCTTAAATTAGGTTGCGGCTGGGAGTCACTTATGAAAAAGTGTAACGCTCGGTAACGTTACGATGAGTCTCTCGTGTTAAGTTTAAGTTTACATGTACAATGTTTTAGTAAACAAAATATATTTCTATAGTTAAAATTTGTGCAATTCTTATTTTCATTCAATTCCTTGTTCCTATTGTGCAATTTAATTATATTCATATCAATAAATATTCTACCGAGAAAAAGACGTTGTCACGTAAAACCTTCGCCCGTAAAACCGACTTTACAGGCAACCATTTTGATTATATTATGAACTGAATTGTCATTTTCATTTCATTTATAAATTATTTAAAAAAAATATTTCAAAATCACAATTGTGAATATAAAATAATTGAATGACCAAGTTTTTGGTCAATCTTTATTTTTTTACAAGAGATGTCGCTAGGTGTGCTTAAATGTGATTCATGTAAGTTGATTTTTCTGAGAGACTAACTTTTTCATGTAATATAAATTGTCATGTTTGTGTACGATAGCGCAATAAATAAATATTGTATTCTACCAAATAAATGATAGTACTTTTATACAAGAATTAAAGCAATTCCTGCAAAATTATTCCCTAACCATTCCAAAATATCAAAAATGCACAACGTTAATATTCAAGTTTTCACTTCTGCGGGCACTCCCGGAGTGCAACCTGATTTTTTTTTATAAAGCCAGGTTGGCAAATAACTCTACCCCACCTGATCTTAAGTGTTGATAAAGTTTAAACGAGAAGATTACTAGTACCTACATTAGTTATAAATTGCCACACCAACCATCCTCACCTCCTACATTTGAAGTTTGTTTCAATCGGCCGATGACGGTCTAATAATACTTTACTTTAATGTCCTCTTGCACTAAAGTTCCTTTTAATTAAAAACTCCTTTTAATTAATATTATAAATTCGAAAAAGTGTGTCCGTCTCTCTTTCTGTCTGTAACCTCTGCACGATTAATCTGCTGAACTAATTTAGATGAAATTTGGTATATATAGATAGTTTGAGTCCCGGGAAAGGACATGGAATACTTATTATCCTAAAAATCACCCTTAAATGGGATGAAAAGTGGTGTGAAAGTTTTCACTCAAACCAATTCTCCACTATATTTTTTTATTTAAATAGCTGGCAAATATTGATGATGTGCTAAGCTTTATTTAGATTGATTTTTTAATAAATAATACAAAAAGTACAAGTAATGGTACCATTATCTATCATGCATGACACACCTACGCCCTAAATACCTACTGCAAAACGTATAAATAGGTATTTTATATGAAAAAAAAAACATATTTATAGGGCT